ACTATGATATATAAAATAGAATAATAGTAAGCTTATCATTTTTGGTTTTATACATGTGGGCAAAGGACTAGTTTTGGATGTAGCTGAGAAAGTTTGAGATCGCAGAATCTGCAGCGGCTCAGTAATAAAATTCTATATAAGATATGTTAAAACACAACACATATCAATTAAAGTTTAATGACTCAGATATGTTAAAACACATATCAATTAAAGTTTAATGACTCACCGAAAAATTGAATCCAGTGAATAAACTGAACTTGCTGATGCGTTCTCTCAATGACTGAGTAGATGTTGAAGTCAATCCTTTAAATACTAGAGGACAAATCAACTGAAGTTGTATAAACTCGTCCTCAGTAAGAGCTGCATTCTCACGATCAAAAAGTTTCATGACTATTTCAGGTTTAAGTTTATGAAGTTGATGATAAGGCTCACAATCATTGATAATTGATGTAGTTTTAAACTCTTTTTCCTCTTTTTTATGGTTCACATACACAGTTTCCTCTCTACTAAAAACAGCCTTAGCTACAGATGGTAAAGGAATGAGGCATCTCTCACTTACACTCTTCTTTCTAACTTCAAAAGTCAAATCAGTTGGAGCAATAATATATTCTGTGCTTTCACAGAGACAATATTTATTTATAAGGTCGTGAATCTCATTCAAGATGTATGAACACAATTCCAAAGCTTTTTCGCCATCTTTTTTAGAGAGAAGTAATGTAATGCCACGATTACTTTCTGACACTTCTAACAGTACTTTAATACCCTTGTGACTCCAGAATATGCCATTCTTCCATACAGTACACAGACTCTCGTACTGCTGAGCTGGATCAATATCAATCTTACCAGCTAGATCATTATCACGATATTTAAATGAAAAGTGAAGAAGAAGAACATGAAGAAATCGAGTCGATAAGAACTGGTGAGGATTTTTAGGATCACACCATAAGCACCAACCAAATTCAGGATCAAAACTAATTGAGGATGGACACATGGTATGTACAAGAGAAGGAAAGAATAAAACATCATCTGATGATGCTTCATTCCTTTTGATGTAACTACAAAATTTTAAACTGACAAGGAAGTCAGTGAGCATAGTTAGATCATAATTGGGAAATAACTCTGCAAGAACTGAGTGAGGAATAATGCCAGTGTTACTAGTTATTTTCCGATAAACTCTTTTAATAGCTTTAGGAGCAAATAAAACTCCAGTGACCTCAGTCAGTAAAGCATTTTTATTAATAATGATCCAACTATGACTAGAGGAAGAAGGCAAGTACAAGATGAGGCCCTTATCACTGAGTGAAATTAACAACTCAAAGACGACAGAAGAGTCTGATGGCAGAGAAGGGAGATCTACTTTCTTTAACTCCACAATAAGCTCCTTGAAACTAATGAATTCTTTATTTAAATCATTTTCAAGAAAAGAAAAGAGGACGTTACAGTAATAGCTGATTGAAACTGAGGCGTTCAAACACTCTTGGCAACTGCTAGCTATCAGATGCATCAATTCCTTAATCCCTTTTCCTCCTATCATGTGACAATCAGCTGGTACAAATTTTTTAAAAAGTTGCACTTTAATTCCCCTATTTACAACATATTTAACTAGTTCAGCATAATCATCAGTGCTGATAGGAACCTTATCGGCACGACTTCCAACAACTAGCACTTGTGATGGCACAGATAATTCCACACAAGCATTCTCAATGAAATTAAGCCAAAAATAAAGTTCCCTTTTTATGGTGTCGATACTACTAATGAGGCTAACTACTATAAGAAAAACTGCAGGAGAGGACACCATAAGATTCTCTAGTACTGCAGCATGACTACTGTAATATTCAGGATGACCAGCAAAATCAAACAATGTGGTGTTACCAATCTCATGACTAATGATATTGTGTGGCTCTATACCAGCTGTTTGTAATGTTACTCCTGTTACCTCCTTTGAAGGATCATAATCAAGATTTGATCTGTCTTCAATGATTTTAGCAAGTGATGACTTTCCAGCATCTTTATTACCACATATAAAGACTTTGGTGTAACTTTGAATTTTATAATTGATTTGGCACGATTCAAAACGCTCAAACGAATCTAGGATAATTGTCCTTTTTTTACCACGACGAGGAATTAATTCAATCGGTGTTTGGTTATTATGATTTCTTGCAACAGGATTGACATCAGGACGTGAAAGTAAGTCAGAAACTATAGATTGCCAACTATACTGACAAGCATAATGAAGTAGTGTATTTCCAAACTAAATTAACAAAAAAGTGTTGTTATAGACACATTTTTACTCCAATATAATGGTACACCAGGAGTCCATGACTTTTACTGATCATGGACTCCTGGTGAAGCTCATACAGTCATGCCAATTAAAAAATATAAGTATTGTGTATCTTATGTCTGTAACATTGACAAGGCTAGCATATACATGTACACATGTAAAAGCTCATGGCATAAAAAATAATGCGTAAAATATAATTTACTTCTGCTATAATTTTATTAAAAATCACATACCGTACACATGTATTGGCGGTGCTTTATTTTTGTGGTTCTGGGGCTTACCACAAAATTTAAACATTAAAGCGCCATCCCCTTACAGGCTATGTAAATTGTTAACCACAGAAACTAAAACCATGAACTGCCCCACTAGGCCCACAAAAATAACTCTCTACAGTCCTGAAATAGCTGGAAATTTTGGGAGTAAATTAATTTTAATGGATTAGCCTAACTACACTAGAATGAATTATTTAATAAAGCAGGTTTACAACTAGAACAAAACAAATTTTTAAAAT